CTGCCAGAGTAGTCTAACCTAGGACGAAACCGGTCACGGAGAAGAGCATGAGAGCAAGCGACGTCCAAAAAATCCCCGGAGTCCGACTGAGAAAAATGGCTGGCGCTAACTTCAAAGTATGCCGTGGGCAAAAGTTGGAATGTCTGTATCCAGCTAGTAGACGTTGCGGACAGTGCTCGGTGGCGCGCTAGCACAGTTAGGATTTTATGTACGCACTATGTTCCTGCTTCGAGTTTCGGTCCCAAGGCGAATAGCCCGAGCAAGAAGGAAACTACTTGTAAAGTGACAGGTTGGCAGCTACAACATATGATACACCTAAAGATCTAGTGCTCGGAATATTTGCACTTTGCATAATAGTAAAATGGGATACAAATTACAACTGCATGTCAAAATCCAAGAGGCACCGGAAAACATAGCACATTATTTCTAACTGTTTTTCCAAGTGTTGTTTACGATGAGCAATGGCTTAGTGTTCAAGACTTAAGCATCCAACCGCTGCTGTTTAGGCTTTATTCGCCTCTCCGGCGGTCCTCACTCGACCGGTTCAAGTTGGGGCGAGGCTAGTCGTAGCGTGTAGCACTAGATCCGAGCAAGACCGAAAAGTCATCACTTCTGATGTGACTCTGGTGTTCGAGATGACCTAGGTTAAGTTCCAAGTGAATTGAGATGGTCACAATTCAGGCACAAGTCGTGCGCCACACACCATTAGACTATATAGTTTAAAACGGAGAGCTACGTTGGTTTGGATACTGGTTTGACAAGTCCGCACGCTTACAGTTCGATGACAAATAATGATTTCTCGTGCGGTCCAGGCCAAGAATTATGGTCCGGGCACGGAAGAAGAGAGGATTCCATTGCCTCTCTGTCTTCAATAACGCTAAAGAAGTGTACCGGCTCTCACTTTTCCCGTAACGAACACGTTTAAATACACAAAAAAATAAATAGTTTATTCTCGAGTATCTGAAGTCAAGAATAATAACAGCGGGAACACAAAGGAAATCCCAAAAGCGCTATGCGATTTCAATTCCGCCTGTCCCAGAAAAAACTGAAAAAATGTCTGTTGCCTGGCTTTTCACAAGCACCCGCGCTGAAGGTGCATACTAATCTGTTCATGGACCTCAGTGCCTCAAACCGAATGCCGTGTCCAGCTTTGTGCTCCCAAATCAGCCACATTGAGAAAAATGCATCTGTTTATATACTGAAAATGTCTATGAGAGAACGCATCGATCAATACTGCTTACTCTACCGCTCCAAAATGGTATCCTTTAAGATGAAATGTGTAGACAGACGAGTGGGTATTTTGCGTAATACACTGCGGAAAAACTGACATCTTTATCTGTTAACAGTGGTGCTTTGTAAAGAACGGCCACTCCACCTCCCATCTTCATTTCATGCGTCAAAAGACATTAGATACTGTCTTCGTTTAGTAGATGCAAGTATGCCAACGACGTCATTGGAGGTATAGCTCCATTCGTCAGGACGTCTTCGACGTTTCAATGAAGAGTTGATGAGCTCAGGAAAATTATGGTCATCTTCCTCTCTCGTCCTCAACGTTTCGGAACGCAGCAACGTTATAACCTCCACTTCCATGTTGATACGTTCGTTACGATTGTTAATATCCTACTGCTTATCCATTTTGTTTTCACTTCCTGAGAACTGCTCCAGGCATGTTGGTCCTGACGCAACTGAACAGGTGCTTCTATCAGACTTTTTCACTTTTCTCCTGAAGTGTGCAGATCGCTTTACTTAGTGGCTACGTGTAATTCCTGTGCGCAGCACTTCCTCTGAAAAGATTGTTCTTGCCTTTTTTGATCATGGATTTCGCTATTTGGCGTGGCAGCTATTATTGCCACTGACGGAAGGTCCCAATTTAGCGCCATACTCATCAGTGACTTCGATCGTTCATTGCAATCTACTCACATCCGGAAACCACTTATCAACCCCCTTCCAACGGCCTTATAGCGCGTTTTTCTCAGCAGTTGGGAGCTACCGCTGTAACATACTCTTTTCATCAGGCTGATAAGCTACAAGCTATTTCGAATGCCACTTCTTCAATGTCACTGAGTGATCAACTCATAACCAGGACAACAACTATCAAATATCTTAAAGCATTTCTATAACAAAATCTATTTTGGTCTACCCATGTCGCCGTAATGTTTCACAAGGTTAGTAGGCCATGCGTTTATACTCTCAGACTTAAAACGATTTCGGTACCTCGTGATTTGATTCTTAATTTATGCATGTATTCCGCCTCAGTTGCTTTACTGTCCCCAAGTAACATTTCCTGAGTTGCACAAAAAAGAGTAGACATTGTTTGTACAGTCGTTAAGACATATTTCCAGACGCGATAGACTGTCTAGAGAGGTCATTGTTGATTTGATTGCTAACAAATACGTAGACGCTTATATTAGGTTGTCCTACAAAATTCTAAACGACCCTTTCCACCCCTAAATTGTATTTTATCGAAAGCGCTTTCTATTTGTCTTGCATGTTGTAAATTTGGAGCCTTGTTTTTCAGTACGACTTCTCCCCACACTTCTATTCTATCGTACTTGTCACGATTACTAGTAGACTCCATGGAACACAGTATGATGCGCAGTTGTTTGTTGGGTGGTAGAACAACACATTTCGTATTCGACACTTTGTTTGCTTTTACTCATCAATTTCGTGCATTCCTCAATTCACAGTGATAGTGTAAAATGATGAAAATGTTTCGACTCAGGTGCACAAAACCTGTGTTGACTTACACTAATACATTTGCTTTACACTGGATTGAGCACCGTCCATGCATTCTTCATGCTATCCACAACACCGTCAAAGAGGCTATCCGAAACTGGCTTGCTGAACTCGTACGGGTACAGCTATTAGACTGTCCGGTACAATCCCACTGGATCCTTGGGTTAATGCGAGATTGGATTTTGCGTTCTATACTAAATGTTCCAACTAGTGCCTTTGAATTATTTGACCCAAATCCTCATAATTCGATGTGTGCGAACAACGAATGTATCCGGACATACACACATCAATTAATTTTTACTCGCACGGTTGCCATGCAAAGGCCTCAAACATTATCATATGAGAGCTCTGTCACCGTCATGTGGCGGAGATCCATTCTGGAGAAGAATGGATCGAGGGGATTCAGAAGCATTGATCGCATTACACTTGCTTACTTAGCACCAGATGGTAACAGTGGCTGCTTTCTTACCAATAAACCTTCTGCGGGGACTTCTGTACCGACAGTTAAAATCAAATCTTCGAGCTTCGTTGCTATCATGGAGAATGAATACACTCTTTCGAAATCGTGCACGTGCCGCGTTACCCGTTGTGCGAGACCGTTTTTGCATGTGCACAACGTGCTAAAGCCTGTTCGGCTGTCAGATAAAAAGTGTGGTTACTATTCGTAGGACGAAACTCGAACTTACTTGTCATTTGACCGTGAACTTGCAACTTTTGTTAAATAAAGGTTCCTCTATTTGTGGGAGAAAAGCAGGTGTTCCAGCCCCAGTCAGGTCCAAAACAGTTGGTCCAAAACCCAACCGCTTTCACCAGCGCTTCGTGATTTTCCATTAATTCATTTCAACCTTTCGACTTGAAAGTGCCTCGTCTGGTTTGATGCCTAAAGTTGTGAACGCATGTTTCCTCCCTCTAGATGCGTAGCTAGGGGGCGGGGTAAGGCGGTCCGCTCGGCACGGTATGTGACAGGGGACGACATTTTTAGTACCATCGATTTTCTGATACTAGATATAAAGGTTAAAATTTCCAGATAAGTTGAAGGTCGAATATTTTAATACTATTCTATATGACCAACAACACGGTTGCGCCATGTGTCACACCTGTGCAAACGTCCTTTCCAGTTTTTCCGTGTTGCTTCTCCAAACAGTGTTATATTGATCAAGGCGTCAGCCGTAAACCACTAGGCTCCGAGTTCCAGCCCAGCTCAGGCTATCTCAGTAGTGTGTCAGTGTTGGGAGGAGAAGCACCGAAATACTTCCATTTCGGATACAGTCCTTGCGATCGGAATGACCGAGGTCTAAATCAAAGTCAACCGAGGTTGATATAGAGGCTGCGTGTCGCAATCCAACCACACAACGGGTCCTGCAAATCCAATTTTGTTCTTCCCAGTAATCTCTTCCTTATCCCATTGTGGTCACGTTCACGACATTTACATCAGTGCCCCAAAAGATCGTCCATTTAAGGAAAAACTAGTGTGCAACCTACCCTGAGCCGCTTGTGTGACCTTCACTCACCTATTCTTCCCTAAGTCAGGGCGGCAAAATTAGTTGTTACGCCACTGCCTCCTTCAATGGGTATGCGGCTCATCTGGTACTTCCCATTATCCCACCAAAAGAACTGTACCTTGACAGTGAGATTTGGGGAATTAGTAGCTAAATCATGGATTCATGTTGTTAATAAAGATTTCGAGTAGGTAGCAATTTTCTTTCCAAAGTACTTACTTAACTTTTCGTTTCCTATTACATGTAAGGTAAAAAAACGTTTCTTGCTTGTGCACGCAACTTTTAGATTATCGTTTTTATTCATTTCAGTGCCTCTTAACTTTGCCATACCACACTCGTCAGTCAAACCTGTCAACATTTTGATGCACGACCGTTTGTTCTAGTGGTGATTACATACCACATTTCAGCATTGCTTGATTAGTCGATGCTGTTTGTTATCACATTCACAGTGAGGAGCGGAGCAAGGAAGATGTGAGCATTGTGATGTATAAAAATTAGCGCAACGTTGACACCCCCTGTTAGTTAAGCACACAGAATTGGTGGTGTTTCAATCTACCCGTGTTAGAAAAGACAAAGTGAGTATCTTTGATTAGTTGCATCACCCTTCGATTATAACATGTGACACAACACACAATGAAACAGACGGACAGAGCAAAATACAAACAAACAGATTAGACAGAGTCAACTGGTCGTTAACGAAAGGCGAGCACACAGTAGCGGATGCATGCGTCCAATCTGGGACAAGCGATATCATCGTGTACTAACCATCGGAGTCATCACGGTATGCCGAGATTAACGGCAACCAAATCGTCCCCGTCCCTATGGGGTCATTGTTTCCCACGCGATCCCTGTAGCACATAAAGGTGAGGTGAGATATATGGGCATGGATTTAATAGATGCACAAATTCTATTGACCCTACTCTATACGGAGAGAACTAGCCACAACGAGATCATGAAATCAGCAGAGATGAAAGTAACTCATTGTTGCGTTGCTCGGATTGCGAAACAGCCCACTCAGATGCACAGCACGAAGTTCAACGATTGTAGATATGCAGAAAAGCTTGTTGGCAATCACAATGACCAATCGGAGTTCATGCTGCTAGAATCGTTTGACCAATCGGGATCAAGCTCTGGTGAATGACACTTGTTACCCACGAAAGGGATATTGGGGAAGACAAGAAATCGCTAGCAGTTTCGGCTTACAAAGCCGAGTAACAAGTGGGAAACTTGTGGATAAAACAGATGAGCATCGAGAATGATGGAAGGGAAAATTATTCACTCGTGTGCCTAGCCAGATATAGGCACGTAACTTGCCATAGTAAGTGAGGCAGTGCAAATATGGTGATCCATTTGTGTCTGCGGGGTGATGATACTAGCAGTGTCATGGTAGCTAAACCGTGGGCTCAACCGGTATCATGCCATCTTTGTCAGTTCTGAGACGGCATGGGGTCATAACCACACGGTTGCTTGGCCCAGAACAGTTCCAACTTCCAAATCGGCTTCCTTTCACGCAGAAAAGTTCGGTTCATGAAGGAAGATTAAGGGGAATTTTATTGGTACTGAAGAGCACCCCTAGAAGAAGAGTATCCGATTACAAGGTTTCTGGGGGCAAAAATGAGTTGCATGAACGCCACTGGTATGGGAGGTGCCCGCAACGCCAGGCTAACTACCTGACCGTGCGAGTGATCCGCTTTAGCGGCAAGAAAGCGGAGAGAGATCTGGTTTGAAGATGGAAGCGACCACAACCTCCCAATTTAACCGATGCACGCTTAGTGAATTGAACCCAGATGTTGGATTTTACGAAGGCGTACCTAGACGTTTGCAACTGTCTATGAGTTTTGATGACTTGCGTGAAAGGTAATTACCCAATTGTGCGGGCGGAAAGTTGAATAAAATCCCCAAGTGGTGGTGATCATTTCATTGATCCACTGGAGACACACAAAACCGTGATCCAACATATGCAATCAGAGAGCTGCATTTCTGTGCCACAGCGCGCGCCAGCAGTTAACCTGATTAAGCAACTGGCCCTGAGATAGAGCAGCCCGGCCAATGGTGTGACGGAGCTAAAGCTACCGTGACTGATGCTTTCTCTTGAAATGCCTAATTAGATGTATTCTTTCGTAAAATAAGCATCAGATTCCAACGGAGAAGATAAGGGATGACGTTAGGTAGTATGGGTCAGTGGAAAGTAATTCAATGCGCATTTCATGTGTTTGTTTTGCAGAACTAACGTAGTCAGGTCATCACAAGATCACAGGTACTCGCGAGTGAAATAATGCTACAAAAGTCCGATTCAAGCTGCTATCCCATTTTCACCATCCCTTTCTTTGCAGGCTAGACGTATTTTCCGTCGTGAAAAAAGCATATGGCTTCACAGACTAGAGGGGAGTGGCTTCGACAGATGCGTGTATACAAGTGTGTACTTCCTCAGTGTGCCGATGTATGGTCCATATGGTGATTGCCGCTTGCCAAAAATGCTACTCAAGGGAAGATGATGGATAGAAATAGGGGTGAAGATGAGAATAATTCAACTCACCAGTCATAGGCCGTTATTCGAATCTTCTCACACATCGAAGGGAACTACAGACAAAAGGAAGCAAAGTTTACAGATTTGAAAAATTGTGAGAAGTGGAATGAGAAGAAACGGTCGCATAATTGACGCACGATTCTGGTTTGAACTCGGTGCCGTTTGAGCAAATGCAATGAATGTGACGATTATTATGGAAATGGTACTCAGTAGTTTGTGCACATAAGTGAGTTTAGATTCACAACCCGAAGCTTGAACGAAAGCAGAACTGCCGCCGATTTTACACATGGGATGTATCGCTACTCAGTTGACGTGTACTTGCATTTGCGGATAAGTGTTATCACAGGTTTGGTGTCTCCTGCAATCACTGAGGGGTTAGCTACGGCCGATATTACTGGACATGAGCGACTGTCATTCGCTGATGGGGGAGAGGAAGTGACTAGGCCTAGTGATTACTCTAGGTTCGGCGATATGCTCAAATAAAAAACCGACTACGGTCCAGTCATCGTCTAATGCACTTTCAGGATTCGTGTTTCCTACAGTCTTACATGTGCAGTGTGAGCGGTGCCGCGTCCGACTCGAAAGTAGCCCCATACGTATGCGTCCCGATATTATTCTTTCAGATCTTTATTGGATATTGGTACGCTGTGTGCGGACGAAGCTGTCAGTGATGATACTGTACGCAACGGTTACTTGCAATCTACCCAACTAATGTGGAATCACGCCACTAATTATCTACTACCATTTCCGCAAGGATCCTTTACATAATGTTGGAAAGGGAAACACTGAGATGCTGACCTGAGATAAATTCGCGACCGAGTCATTGGAATGCAAAATTATTCTATCCATATATGCAGTTAAATTTGACAAGTCAAACACAGAGGTGCCGCCGGCCATATGGGTTAAAAAGGCTTAAACAAGCCGTCTCGTTTTCGTCTACTAATCCTGTGCGCATAAGCAATAGGGAACACGTGCATACACATCGGACACTATGCGCAACCGTCACAATTAGTCATGGGCAAACAGTCATGGTGTCGTGGTTCTCACACGAATACCGCCAGGGTCCTTGAGGTCAAACTTGCATCATGCGTGCACCAGTAATCATCAAGGTTATAGGTGGGTCAAGAACAAATATCTTTTGACCCGGTTGTGTAAAACAAGAAAATCAAAATTTGTGATTCCATAAGGTCAAATTGATAAAGAGGAGCCAATACGCTTGATTCCATGTGCAAAATGTACACTGATGAGGCGGGAGTCCCCCGTTCGCATGAGCTGTGGTGGTAAAAATGTCTGAATATTTTGTTTTACCATGAATCCAGGGAATCTAAGGTGTCTGTCGGTGTTCCGCTGAATGCGGTTAGGTTGAATAGCTCACCACACCTTCGCGCCGTCATCGAGTTCGAACCAAGCTCGTTTTTCGATGCGTTGCTGCCCATTCGAATAGGATCCTACAGACCGCCTGATGTATCGCTATTGTCATAGTCATAGCATAGACACTAAGTACGTATATTATTAAAACAAACTATCTTAACACTTACCATGGATGCGTCTTATTCACCAGCAGTTGTGCTAATTGGTTAGTAGTAGTAGTAGTAGTAGTAGTAGTTAGTAGTAATTAGTTAGTAGTAGTTAGTCCTAGCGGAACTGAAAGCAGGCGAGCAGGTATAGAGCGAAGCTACCCAGACCGCGACACGATTGAATCAGCTGACCAATCAGTACAATTGTTTGGACGATGGATTTCACATGTGGACCGTCATTGGATAAAATTAACTGGACGCTGACCAATAACTTTCGATTAGTTTATCAGCTATCCCATCAATGTGGCTGATTGCAGCCATATTATGGATGGTTTGCTGTCACACAACCAAAAAGACCTCACCTATGGGGAACAGTAGGCGGAGAGAAGGGTAACGTAGTAGGAAAACTAAATAGGCTAAACAGATGCCCAAGGCCAGAGCGATCACACTATATGTCATCGGTAGGGTCGCTTTCTTGCGGTGTTCACCGGCTGCACCAAAAGCAATATTGCCCCAGCATCCTACGAACACTAAACAGGCTGCATGGCAGAAAGAAAACGATCAATTAGCGCCTGTTACGAGCCATGTCCCGTAAAGTCTCCACTAGGTAGGTCCAGTGCGTATAAGCAGGCAGGTGAGACGGACCAATGACAAACAGCTGCTTGGTTAACGAATATCATCCTCTGACCTCATGCTGTCTTAGATCCGACGAACAAAATATTGTCCACATTAGGCAGTGTGTGGCCATATGTAACACGTGAACCATGTAAAGCAACTTATCAAAACTTAATTGTTGGTCCCTCGAACTAATCGTCACCAGCTACTACTCAAACGCGCACTTCATGGTCGCAGCATACTGGCTTCAACCAACACAGGAACAACTAGGTAGCTAACGATACGCAAACATATGAAGAAACTTGAGATTCGCAGCTTGGCAGGTCCAAGTCTGCCTAAGGTAGAAGCGAATGGCTCTCACTGTGGTCATGTATACACTGTGTTTAGGACTAACGAAAACAACTGGTGACAGAGGTATCATGGATACACGAAGGCAATTGCAGTCGTCGCAAACCGTGAACCACGTTCAGAAATCGCACGGTGATCACTGGTAATGGATTCGCCAAGCAAGATAAACTGGATCCTTGTCCACAGATCCTAGCTGTCAAGGTGAGGGGAATATGAGTGACAGACTGTCCTGCAGCATCGGTTAGCACTTGGAAGGCTTGAAGCGGATGCCAGAGTGATTACCATAGGTTAACTTCACCGTCTCGTGGGTGTCACCTTACAGGACAATGACCGCATAATCCAACTCTACGAATGCAGTGGGAGGGTTCTCTAGGGAACGCTAGGTCACGACAAAATCGAACAAAAGTTGGTGAGTGGGACGGCGTCGTCCGTTGTCAGGAAGACATACGGTCGAACTTCGTGAGGTTCGCTAGTAAATGACACAGAAGGTGTTAAGAAGGAATACACGATGCGAACAAGCCAAGACCCCATCGCCGCGTCAGGCGATCCAAACCCACCCACCCTGCTTGGGGTGGACAGAGAGCCAACTGGGAGAAGCGGCCAATTAAGGCGAGGGCGGCGTTCCTTGATTTGTTGTAAGTTGACCTTTCCAGAGCTTTCCACGTGCGCTTTAAATACCATTCACGAACTTTCCATTTCACCATTTTAATGAACGGTGCCATTCGCTAATACATCCCAGTTGCTCTGTTCGTCCGACCCGGTCTTCTCTCTGTCCTGTGGGGAGCCAGAGACTTCGGGTTTTTATTAGGAATCAAGCGTCCATTCAGGCGAGGGACGAACACTTTAAAAGGTATTCCTAAATGTTACAGGAACAGGGTAATTTGCCCGCCTGAAGCGAAAGTACTCTTGGAATGTTGGAGCATGACCATAGCCGGCCATGTAGGTGTGTGGCGCAGCATCAATATTCCGATCATGATCGGAAACCATATGTTCTCTGTTTCGAGGGAAACCGCTGCGCACTAAGGCGGCCGATAAGAATTCAGGCCAGATAATATGGCCCTACTGGTGTCGTCAGGTTGATATTATTCGGATTAGCCCAAACGCCCAGGCAGTTTCTCTCGTGAGCTTCCATTACGATGGCTTATCTCTGTTGACCAAGACACTCAGTTCCACAGCTACTCGAGCGAGAAAAACCTATTAATCATCGGCCTCAGATGCGACCTCAGTGATCAAATTGACCGAGGTTCACTTAAAACGGCGCTCAGCCCCGGATTGGGATTGTGCGTCGCAATTCGCTCACACAACGAGTGTCTTAAAATGACCCCCACTGAAGGTGATTTACGGTAGCGTTCCCCCATTCTGTAGCGTGACAAGTTGAATTAAAATATTAAACGAGAAAAGAATACTTTCCCTTATATGAAAGTTCGACGTCCCGTTTCTTGCTAGAAACAATTATTTTATATTATTTTATGGAATTTCTAGTTTCTAGGTTTAGTATGCAGATAAATAAGGGTACAAAATTTAGTGTGTAGAAGCAAATGAGTGCTCCGTTGCAATGGGTGAAAAATTGCAAAAGCGGATGTTTCTTATGAATGAACGCCAGCCAATGTGAAGGATTTGTGTGCATATGGCTGCGCACCACTTAACCAGCACATACGCTGTACTTCCACTGCTAACAGTTAGAAATTGCGACCGGAAATATAAATTTATCCCTTATATACGAAATTTAATAAGGTTCATTAAAACAAATGTATAGTGATCTCGGCAATTCGAAGAAATATTGGTGCAATAAGTTGTTGTCAAGATTCGAAATATCGCTAAATGTGTGTTCACATAAAATACCGACTGATGGAACAATACGTCCTTCACAAGCATCCTCACCACCATTTTAAGCAGTGAGGTAATGCGTGGCAGAATGGAAAGCTATGACCCACGAAATTACGGAAAAGAGGTGACAATCAGTAGAACTGAAGTGGTACACTGGTAAAAGTGGCATGATTTCAACCTCGACTTCCCCAACTTCCCACCTAAATCATTCCTGGTGGAGCTGGATGGTGTAGCAGTGACGACGCCTACAGGTCATGTCTTTGTTTCCAGTCTCGGTCCCAGCTATGTCTGTCTGAAGATTTTGAACTAGAACAAAACCAATAATTGGTGGCCTCCACTAACCATTATGAGTAGTAGAAAGTTTGAGTGTACCTCAAGTCATCGCTGTGCACTGATAACCCATATTGATTGCATTGACAATAATCAAATGTCCACATGCTCACCGGTGTTGAGCAAATATTCATGCAGTAAACCATCAGTGAGTAGTGGCAAGTTGTGCAATAATTGGATGGTCCACAAATCAATTTGCACTCATCTTCGAGGTAGGCATCCATTCGTTCGTCGCTCCCACACATATCCGTGAATGAATTCAAAGGCCGTTTTGTCCTATACTGTTCGTCAGCAGCTTGCACTTCACTTACTCCTCTGGGAGACTGGCCCTTGTGTTACTTTAGAAACAAACAAATGCACTCACACAACTAGATAAGAAGGTTTCAGTGTGCAAAATTTGCTACCGCTTGCCTGGAAATTCAGCACCATTTCCTCGTTCCACTCCGGGTGGTCAGTGCAGTATTTAGTGGAGGTTTTTAGCTGAAATGAAAGCAAATGCAATATTAGCATACCTTTTCATGGGAAAATTAGAATTCTCCCCAGAAGTCTTACTTCATAGGCAACCTCCCATTGGTCCGTAGCGAGGTGACAGAAACAACCCTAACAAAATAGTGTGTCGTAGACCCAAAGCCTTTTAAAAGTGCATCTTTGATCTGTTTGTAACGATTTGCATTGCTCAGCGTGATTCACGCCACCCAGTCGCCATCGTCTAGGCTGTTGCCAGTTAGAGTACCGTATAACACAGAATATAAGCCGATGATTTTTGGATGATTTTTCGTTTCTGTAGAGGGGGAAGTCGGCTTATAAAAAAGCTATGCGAAATTGATAAAAGTCATACGCAAAATCCACCCAGCAATTCACTGCCCAACACTGCCCTTGTCTCATCTTAGCACCACCCGCTAGTAACGGACGGTATTCCAGGCGAGGATTTGAAATGCCTATAACGGCCTTACTTTTGTGTTGAAAATTCTCGGTAGAATGCACATTTGACCTTTGCGACGGATAGCCGTAGCGAAGCAAAAGCCCTTAAACATTATGTTATGCCACGCGATCCGGTGCCTTAAAAGTACCACTGGTCCCACACCCCTGACCGCGAAATTCACTCTCACCCACTACTCTACTGTGGTTCAATGGGTGAGGCCGGTCGGACACACCTTAAGTTATATGTCGGCTGTCTTAATTGCGTCATGTGACTTGATGCCTGGTCGCTACACTGTCCGGTGAGGTGAAAATGTTCGGTGAGAGAGATAACGGATGGTGCTATCGCGCTTGCATCTGTACACTGCACTTTGATGGTGCGAAAATCCTAGTGGATAGGTCAACACTGCGTCAGTCCATTTGAAGGAGTATCTGATAAAGGGCGAGCATGTCGTGTCATGCATTGGAAAAGTACTAAAATTAAGAAGATGCTCAGCGTTTTAATGAAGTGTAGTCTGATGCTTCAGCCATCGGCTGACACATCTCCCTTTCTAAAATGCGACAGATAGCCAACCAGAAAGTCTAGAAGGAGCATACAGTGATAGAAATGTTACATGATCAAAGACGCAACTGGAACACAGTACCTTCTTGCCAGCAAAGTTAACTTCCACATACGGGTCGACAAATTGCTTCTCTTCGTCCTTGCTCATTAAGTTTCGAATGCCCTTGAAAGTGTCGGGGTCCACTGAAACGGAAGAAATGGAGTTGACTCAAGTGGTAAAAATGGCTTTCAAAGTCCACCTGTCCGTTTGAGTCAAATGATATGGTTTGTTACTCCTGAATAAAACTTCAGTTAATACTAGTGCTTTAAGCAGTAAGTATATGAGCGACACGACGACGATGTTACGTCTCTCCCTGAGTGTGTTCGCTGGTGTTAATTCTGCGGAAATCGGAATGTATGAAGGTTAGATGATCATCAGCTGTACGCCGTAACCTCGCTTCGCTGCCGCGCGACCACCACCTGTGGCACGTGGACCGAGTATACCGCGAGGACGCCCGCCCGTACGCGAATTCGAACCGTGAATGAAGGATAAACCAATCCTTACCGCAAATATCAATCAGTCATAGCGGTCTGACATCAGAGTCCCCAGCAACTGCCTAGTAAATGATTGTCGTGGGTTCCATACCGCAAAAATCGAGAGAAATATATGCTAATGATGAGTCCGAATGGGGCAAAATGGTCGACCAATACCTTTTTCGGGCGTGTGGTCTGACCGAGTCCAGTTGAGACCATACGGCTCAAAATCACCTCGAAATTCCCCGGCTGCTATAGTCAGGTTTTAATTTATCCATCTCAGCAGCAGCAGCAGCATCATCCTCAGCATATTAATCAATAGCAGTACGTCAGCCATTTAAAGTGATACCTCGCTGCTATACGACCATAACGACCTGAGGAATGTAGAACAATAAGAGGGATAGAAGCGGGAATTAGCGTAAAATCCCAATACACAAAACAAAGATTCAAGGTCAAGGCACCTACTTCTTGTCAACAACATGCCATCACAAACAGCTAGTTGTCCTGCAAAAGAAACGGCATCGACGAGACAGCTCCTGTGTGACTTTCACTTCCCTGCGTCATAATCAACAATTTCCCCATAGATAACTCAGCACAGCACACGTTAAACAGGCAGTCCGACTAGGAGACGGCAACAGATAGGCCACTGCTGCGGACAGCGAGACATGTCGTGTACAGTCTTGAGCCAAGCACAAGGTGGGTCATGTGCGTTCCAGCCTGGAAGACGAGACGGACCGGTGGCAGCGAGTTCGGCCGTCAGTGACTTCATTTCCCGCTGTCAAGTCAACTTTGGTCCAACTCGAGCCTTGCGTCACCCTACATCTGACAGACGAAACAAGGTTCTCCTCGTTAAGCGGTGACCAGTCATACGTAGTACGTGCCCAAGCCAAGGCAACTTAGCGCTATCAGTTGTTCTGAGGAACTAGCTTGAGTATCACTGCCTAGCACTCGCTTACGCACATCATCCTGCTGGCACGCTGGTGCCACTCGACACGAGCAGACAGCGATGATCAAAACGCGAAAGTGTCTCAAATCTTCAGAGGAAGGGAGCTAAATTTCATATCCACAGTGTAGGACGGCTGTCACTGAGGCCTTGTAAACACGGCCTCTTAGACTGAGTGAAACTCTTTCTGACGCCAAGGTTGGGGGTTCAAGGTAGTTCTGACTTTGCAGTACCTGAAGTGACTTCAGTTGCTATGCGCCCATCGTGGCTGATAGAGATACCAAGTGAATTGATCAACTACCTCGAGTTCCTCGCTGTCCATGGTCAAGCGGTCATCAAGGGGCTGCTGGTCTTGCAGCAACACTTTGCAATTTGAAGTTACGAGGCGCATACCAAACAATGGGATTACTCTTGAGAGGTTATTCAGGGTTATTTTTGCGCCGCTCTAACATTGTTAGACAGCAAGACGACATCGTCCGCATAATAAAGATCAAGTAGCCTTTCACCAGGTAGCATCTTAACAACTGCATTGTGAAATTCTGCAAGGGAACACTCCAAGATGGAGTGCACGACGAAACTGAGCAAAATGGGTAATATGGACAACCCTGATGAAGGTCACTTGTTTTCGGAGAGACATTCAACAGATCACCTTGGATCCTGACGCGGCCTGTCTTGTTCGAGTATAGAAGACGCAAAATGTTCGCATATATTATGAGAACATTTTTCCGCACAAGCATTTCGAACAGAATGCACCGATCGACGGAATCGAATGCGCTCTTGAAGTCGAGGAACACAGCTATGGTCGGTCTGCGACATTCGTGGCACCGCATCAGCACTTGCTACAGAGTGAAGATGTGGTCTATACAGTCAAGTCCTGGGCGGAAATCTGCCTTCTCTTCCCTACTCCGGTATTCCGCTTCCGTAGTGACACGACGAACGAGAAGTGAAGCCAGTAACTTAGCAGCAGCCGGTGTAAGGCTAATACCCCTGTGTTTATTACAGTTGGTGAGACTGCACTTCTTGTCTATCTATACTATAATCGATGCACTCCAGTTAGCCGGGATGATCTGCTCCTTTCAGACCTGTTCGAACAGGTCTGGTAAGTGTTTTACAGAGGACGTCACCTTCCTCCTTAAATAGTGCAGATCGGACGGAATCGGGATAAATAGTAGGAAAACGATCGAGGGCTGTGATCACGTTTCGGGACGCAGCCTCCGATTCAGCCTCTAAAATACCCGTCCGTGGATCATCCTGTATCACTTGAGTTGGAAGAGGTTTTGGAGCAAAGGCCAACTGAACTGATCCTGAATGTGTTCCGTCCAACGACCCATACAGCATTCCTTATGGTGAAGCAGAGCACCCGCGTTGCATGTCTCACTGATGCCTTGTCTCCTGGGAACAGTGGTACAGATCAACTGGAAGAGCTTGCGATAGTTCCATACTGCAACCCCTCCTCCATTTCTTAAGCCCGACTGGTCTACCTGGCTTCCTTGTCAGCGTGCAGGCTCCGCTTTAGTTCGCGCCTAATAGTCCGTCGCAACGAGACTGGACCTTGTTACGGAGAGTCAGCTTACAGCCAGGGTACAAACCGAGAACCGTGGCGCGTTGAACTGGTTGGGGGCCGCACAGTAGATTCAGGCAGCTTATCCGTAAAGTCAGCGGAAACCACAACAGACCTGAAGATGGTGCGACGATTTACGTTCCTCCTTGACACATCCAACCATACTGGGTGGTGTCCCCGGACGTCTTGAGAGCCTCTACCAGGTTGATCAATGGTTAGAGGTCAGACGAACACAGTCACCTGGTCCTCCAGGTTAGGGGTGTAAAATGGGATGGCGTCCATTTCTGCAAATCTAAATCATTGCCACCTGCTGCTTTGCGGACAGGCCTTTGAGCCAAAGGCTTTGGTTGAGAACCCCAATCATCCTCCTTTCTAGGTCTAGGCTCCCTGACAGTGGCTCACCACACACCCAACCATGACAAATTCCCAAAAATTCAACTACATCCTGCATCGGCCGTTTTAACAATTGTCAATGGATAAAAGTATTTGTTAAAATTGGGTTGACAATGGGCCCACGATATACTGTGGCGGCACCAACAGATCCAACGAGAATAGGTACGTCTAGTACAAGACCTTTCCATTCTCGACCAAAAGGAAAAGCTTGAAATATCTCGTCTACGTAGGCAATATGCCTGCAACCGTTTCTGAAGTGGGTTGTTGGTAAACTTTTCGTGTCACAGGTACAACTGGTTAAGTAAAATGCTGATGCACTCGGAGCATCACTTCAGGTACGCACGATTAAAGATGAATGGGATCACTGAAAGTTGATGTTGAGCAATATGGTGCAGGGATCTGATGTGAAGATCTCACGGTATTGATAAAGTACTCGATTAGGATGTCCTACTAAGTCACAGTGTTACTTGTGTGGAGCAACGGTTATGCGAGTGGATTGAAACATCCAATAACGATCAAGGAAACGATTCGCTTTGATATGAACGTAGGTCAGTTCCGAGATGTGCATCGCAGATGAAGTAGCAAAGTGTTAGCTGTCACCAGGTCTGAACACCGCGCTTCACAATCGGTTTCAAGCTTAGTCTGACTGTCCACGGAGAGATAGGGGAACCGGAACCTGGGTTAATAATTAGTGATTGAAGAGTGTAAAAGAAGGCGAAAGCTGTCGTGAAGCGCAGCACTGAAAACGAGTAATACCGAAGATTTAACCAAGATCAAGGTGTTTTATTCGAATATGGTGCCTCCCCTGTATATCCGGACCGTAGCCTAAAGAATCCCAAGCCTGCTTTGTATTCCGAGGTCGCGGGTTCGAGCCTGCGTAGGAACAGGGCGACCCTTGTAGTATCCTCAGCCCACGTGCGACTGGTGGTGGTTGCGCAGCAACAGAGCGTCTCTACTGCGTACCGGCGTACTATTGATATCCATTTTATAACCAACAATGAGACTGCAAGCATAACAGCCGCACTGAGGCGTAGTCTGAAACGCATGCGCCCAACCAATCAATGAAAAGAGACTGGCAACAACTGCTCCTGCGTAGCTCTGCCCTTACACAACACCAGGTGCTCTGTCGAACTGTTATTTTGGAGGAGATCTGGTAGTGAAAACAAGGTGGACAGCGAAAGAGTCACTGCAACTTGCTGAGGGGACAGATACAAGAAGCTGTGAGGTCAAATCTTACCCCAAAGCAGTGCGACCGCACCCACAGCGCTAGTGTTAGGTCTCATGCAGAGGCAGTGGAAACATGACCGCAAAGTATGGACATGCCCGTGACGCTGAGTCCCACCACACGATGGTCACTAAACGCAGAGCGTTTCACCAGTGGTAACAAAACGTCGCACAGGGACATTTCACAAGCAAACAGTCTTATAGTCTTGACAAGTAAACCGCTCTTCATCGTGAAAGTAAACTAAAGCGAAATATACTGCGCTGTCTGATACTGTCTGAACATCTCTGGGTGACAAGTTTAGCAAGAATAGGCACGATGTAAACGTTGACACGATGCATCCGCTCCAGATGTTACCACGGCGATTATTGACTAAAAGGAATTGTTATGTATGGGACGCACAACCATACTGATGGAGCTGGATGGAAATAATGCTTTGACCCGGAGAAGAATCACGATCCAGTTACTATACTGCACGCATCTAAAGTGTACCTCTCCCCAGATTTTGCGTAACCCGACACCCGTGTAAAATGCTCAGAAACTGCGTGTAA